CCAGAGAATCTTCAAACGTTAGATAGTGAATGGCGCCTATTGCCGAACACTAATGAAATAAAGAACTTTCCAGACGATGTCGAATTATTTTGGTTGGAGGTAAAAAAAATGATCTTGGGTGATAAAACTCCAATGTTCAAGACTTTAACTACATTTGTTTTTGAAATATTGTGTTTTCCACATGCCTCGGCAAATGTGGAGAGGATTTTTTCGGAGATAAATTTAAATAAAAGTAATCAAAGAAATGCTTTGTCCACTGAAACTTTGGTAGGGTTATTGCGTGCTAAACAGTACCTAGACAACAACACTTGTTACTATTTTACTGTACACGATAATTTATTGCCGTTAATGACCAAACAAAACTTGTATTTAGATTAAGTTGTAATTTTCTATTTTGCAAATAAATACTACCGAATTTATACGAAATCTACCGAAAAATATTTCATCAACTACCGATTTTATTCCTCATCTGGTTGGCAGCACTGCAAAAAGGCGAAATATAATAGTGGTCAAGAATACTTAAATACTAAAAACAAACTGGTGCCTAAGAGAACACTCAAAAAACCTTTTAACGAAAAGTGCCGTTACAAATGCTACAAGGTGTTTTCGGGAGAGGAGAGGGGGCGCATTTTAAAGTCATTTTGGGAGATAAACAACGCAAACAATGTCCGAGTGTACAAGAAGTTTTTTATGGTAACTCTTGGAATTTGCGATACAATGATCCGCACTACTATTAAAAAACGTGATCCTAATTCAATTATGCAGTCAGACCAGCGCGGAAAGCATCAAAAACAGAAAACGTTTGATCCATCTCTCAAGGAGAAATTATATGAATTCAATTCCGAGAGTTGAATCGCATTACGTGAGGAGCGCCAGACCAAACGAGAGTATTTTGAAGGATCATTAAATATTGCATAGTAGGAGGGATATTAATTTTATTCACGTATATAAATAGAGTAGCTTCAAACGAAATATTTAAATACAGAAATCTTTATACCGTTTGTATAAAGAAAAGTGTAACGAAGAATACTCTATTGCTGAAAATTTTTTTATGAAAATGTGTGTACCGAGTTCAATATGGGTTTTCATATATCCAAAAAAGACAAACGTAGTACCTGCTTGCGAATGCTACAAAAATTCTAACGAGAAAGAGAGAAAACTAAAAGAGACAACAAACATCTGAGAGATACAGAACGTTCTAGAGAAGAAAGGGCAAAGGATGTTGAAGATGCTAAAAGTGAGAAAAATAAAATTGTTGCTGTATACGATCTATGTACAAGCAGTTCTCCCTACTCCATCTGGAGAGATTACTTTTTATTACACGAGCAAGTTCGCAACTATAATTTTACCGTATACGACATTGTGCCCAAACAAGGTTATTGCCTACGTAGGGGATGAAACCTATGCCAAACGTGGTGCCAAAGAAATCGGAACTTTTATTCTAAACTTTCTCGAACAAAATGCTGATGGAAGAAACTTCTTTGCAGACAACTGCGCAGGACAGAACAAGAACAATGCCATGTATTTGTATGCTCTGTCAAAGTACAACATCTCTAGTATCCACAAATATCTCATAACAGGGCATGCAGAGAATGAAGGCGACAGTGTGCATTCCTGCATTGAGCGTGAGAGAAACAGAATTTTGAAGAGTGGTCCGATATACATACCCTGTCAATGGATACCTGTCATACGCTTGGCCAAGAAGAATGGAAAACCGTGTATAATTCAAGAACTTGCCACGTCTGATGTACATGATCTCAAGCAACTTTCTGAGGATCTAGGAAACAATTTTGGTGTAAACCTAGCAAAAGAGAAGGTCTTATGGAGTAAAATCCTGAATTGTAGAAAAGGCGCCATACTCTTGTGTACTATAAATACAATTATGATGATGTAGAATACTATGACATTGACATTAGGGGTCGTAAGAGCAGCTGGTCCAAAAGCACCGTGCTTAAACGGGCCCATAAGGATCTACCAAAAATATCAGAAGCATGTATGTAGGGATTGTGCAAGTTAATGATTGGCACGCCTGACAGTTGCCCAGAATGCATGTCTTGAGTTGTAAGCACGTTTCAATTATCACTCATCTCTTTCAATATAAAATGTTCAAATAAAGAATACTTATTATTTAAGTATAAAGGCCCTCCTGTAACATTACCAATCAGTGATAACGTACAACCGATACTATGTAAGGCCAGACGGATGCCATTTGCATTATTACCCAAAATTGAAATGGAACTGCAAAAATTATACCAACAGGGCATTTTAGAACCGATAACCCACACACGATGGTGTACGCCAATCGTTCCCGTTGTTAAAAAGGATTCCAGCATAAGAATATGTGGCGATTATAAACAAACCTTAAACAAGGCGCATTGCGTACTGACGTTTAGCCAATTCCAGCCATTAATACTTATTATCAGGTAATTGAACCGAACGGGGGTCAATTGTTGACCGTTCGCAACACAGAATGTTGTACGTAAATTTGCGAAGCAAGCCCTTTCCTAATTTTTGAGCACCCTCATCTTTGCGTATACGTAACTTTTTGTTCGCATTTTTGCGAGCGGGGTAGATGAGCGGACGTCAAGCGTAGTATACGTTTTGTGCAGTGTGGTGTAACGTCTAAACGTCGGCGTGCGCGCGGAAAATTGGGGGGAGAAAGTAGACTGGGAAACACGCGGTTGCGTTAAGCAAAAAGGAAAGGGAGAAGAGAAAAGTATGAGAGAGTGTGTTTGTAGCGGAGATTAAAGAAAGGCGTTTAAGAGAAATTGCGAATCGACTGGGGCCCGAGAATTGCATTAGAAGAAATAATAATTGTTGTAATTGGCCGTCCAAAAATTTAACAACGGACCAAGTTAACGCGAGCCATTTTCCATCTATAGTAAGTAAAAGAAGGGCGTTCGTGTCCATTCCTATACTGCGTAATTTTTAGGGCTTTCTTTACCCCAATGTGCATAGAAGATAGAATGTAGATAGATTGGAAGTAAATCCGAAGCACGGAGAGTGAATACCGAGTCGTTTCGATATTGAACTAATCAGCATCTTTGTCAGCATTCAGCGACCTCCAAATTTAATCAAGAGCCTGCTCCGCCAGCTCGGCTGTACACAATTCCTTTCCGGAAAACCCACAAACAGATAAGAAAGAACGCCGTGTTCATAATTGTTTATACCTGAGTTATCACCCAATTAACCATCATTCACCTCATTTCATTCACCATTAGTACAGCATAATTCTAACCACCATCAATCGTAACTTTGTGATATAAGTAAATCAATTAAGTGTTAGGTTAACTTTGTAATCAATAATACGTGTCGATTTATCTGTCGGTTGGCATGTGAGTTAAAGACAGATTGGCGCCCAAAAATTATGTAATAAATTTAAATGAAATTGTAAATATTTGTATCCACGATCCCGCCACCCCCAGGAACTGAGTAGAGCCAGTGGCACCATTAAACTCATTTTTTTTCTAACGTCACACAGTGCCGCCCAGCACGTGGGGCCCGATTTGTGTTATATAGAATTTACGTTCAAAATATCAAAAGGATTTTGGTTACCGCGTTATATAGAATTAAAACCTAGTTTTTGAAATCATGATGGAATATTTGGGAATGAGGCCCGTAGATCTTCGCACAGAAGAATTAAATTATGAATTGCGCATTAGAGGTGTGGTTACGGAAAAAAAAGATGTCCCAACTAAACGTAAAATATTGGCTAAATTATTAGAAAAGGATCGAAGTCGGCCTCGTATTAACCTCGAGGATCCGTTGTATAATTTTGATGAGGAATGCGTGACAATTGAACAAACAATAAGTGCTATTAGGGAATTAATTTCAGAATTCTCGGGCCCCAGTCGATTCGCAATTTCTCTTAAACGCCTTTCTTTAATCTCCGCTACAAACACACTCTCTCATACTTTTCTCTTCTCCCTTTCCTTTTTGCTTAACGCAACCGCCTGTTTCCCAATCTACTTTCTCCCTCCAATTTTCCGCGCGCACGCCGATTTTAGACGTTACAGTGGTATTCGTAAATTTTGAGGTTAGTATTTTTCGTAGTTTTTATTTTTTTATTATTATTATTATTATTATATTTAGATGACAATTCAACTCATGTATAAAAAATCGCATAAGCCGCAGTGCAATTGTCACTTTGACGGCGGCAAAAGTTACCTGCAACTTTTCCAGCGACAAATGCACTAGTGGTTTTTTCACTTATTCATTTTCGAACCAAATATCGTATTATCCTGTCCCATATGACTAGATGACGTCTGTCAATAATTGATTAAGTTTGGTGAATTTCTTGTTCGTTAAATTGTCCTGCCGAATTACACTCGAGGTTTGTATTTAAACCGAGTAAATTTGTGTTGTTGCAATTCAAATCTGTTGCCTTTTAGCAATTGAACTCTAGAAACTGTCAACCTAAAAATGCTCCACCTTCGGTGTCGCATTTTTATTAGTTGACAGTTTTTCTCGTCTAATTGCTAGGCAACAGATTTTCATTACCTAAACAACCCAAATTTACTCGCTAAAATACAAACCTCTTGTGCAATTATAAGTGATAATAGCATGAGGCAAGCCTATTTATGCTATTTTGTTTAAGCCTAGTATCGACAGTGCGAGGCTGCTCGCAGCGAATGCCTCACGCCATCTGCCTCAGGGTGAGGCATACGCTCTTCAGCTAGTTTGTAACCACAAATGCTCAGTGCGAGCACGCGAACCACCCACATTCGTAGTGAAGGCAGTCTATACAAGTCGTTACAATGTCTTTTTTGTTGTTAAGAAATGTGCAAGTTACTGCCGCTGCTTTTATTGTGATGGCGACGATTATTATTAGAAAAAAACAACGGAAAAGGCGACGTAAGCCCCGTTGGTGGGTCAAAAAAGTTTATCGAAATCGGTTGGAATATGGGAACAGACTCCTAGAAGACGTGAGGTTCGAAGAAGACGTGACAAATTTCTTGCGAATGTCCAAGCAAGATTTTGAACATTTAGTTACATTGGTAGAGCCTGCCGTGAAAAAACGTGACACGTACATGCGAAGTGCTATTACCGTCAAGGAAAGATTAGCTCTTACTCTGAGATTCCTAGCAACTGGAGATTCATTTACAAGTTTGCAATACCTCTTTCGCATATCCAAACAACGAATATCTGTGATTGTTCCAGAAGTATGTGATGCACTTATTGAAGCCCTAAGGGACTACATAAAGGTAAGAAAACAATTTACTTCAAAAAATCAATATATTGTAATGTTAAACAATGTAGCTTGCATATAACAACATGTCATGTTATTACATTTCTTCAGGATTTAAAATTTCAGGATTTATGTTAGTCAAGTAGGTTACTAAGGTGTCTTCTTGTTGTGGAGGCCTTGAATCAAGGTCCTGAACAAGTATACATTGGGAATTTGAAGGAGTAGGAGTTGGAGGGTAACTATCTCGAGACGAAGTCGGTGTAGTGAAATTTGAACTGTAGTACCCAGCAGTGTTACGGACGTTGTGATTGGGGGTAAATTCTCCGATATCTGCTCTGAACAACACATCTAATATTGCCCTCTTCACATGAGGAAGAGTGTTGCTGTCATATTTCCTGAGTTCACTTGCAACATGCATTCCAAACGTTTCATAGTGGTCAGTAGGAGTAGCCGATGTCTTTTTCAAAATGGAGTATGCATCAATTAGCATTTGATTTTGTGCAGTATCAGCAGCATCATTGCGACGTTGTCTTTTCCTACCTTGGTACATGTTAGAAGTAGGCACCGTCGCTGTACTCGTAGACACCGCCGTAGCAGTTGTAGACGCCATCGTTGTATTAGTAGACTCCGGTGGTTCATCTTCGACCGTTGTGGGTTCATCGACAATAGATTCATCATTGTTTGATTCTTCTCGAGTTTCCTCAGGATCCCTTTGCGTATTAGCCTGTCAACAAAATAAACATTACAAATACAATGTTTGATAGGGTGCTCTTTCATAAGAGATTTATAATGGAGGCCTAAAATTCCAAGACTTGCCAAATGAAATTTTGAATCCTGTAAAATTGTTTTTTATAAATACTACTCACTAGTCGGCGTTCCTTAGCTTTTAAATTAATGATGTGTCTTTTATTTTAGCTACCCTCTTCTAATGAGGAATGGTTAGCTGTGGCAAAGGAATTCGAAGAGAAGTGGAACTTCCCTCATGTAATAGGTGCAATGGACGGGAAACATGTCCAGCTTCAAGCACCATGGAACAGTGGCACTGAGTATTATAATTACAAAGGTTTTTTTAGTATTGTGCTCTTTGCATTAGTTGACGCAACTACAATTTTTTGTATGTTAATGTTGGCTGCCCTGGTAGATTTTCAGATGGAGGCATTTTCAAAAATACGACATTGTACAACAAAAGGAACTGAACATACCAAACCCAAAAGCATTACAAATTCCTTACAGTATTAAGGTACCTTATATTATATTAGGTGATCAAGCATTTGAGTTAAATGGATATACTATGACACCATTTAAAGGTACTCCACAAGTTGGTTCTATTGAAAGAATTTTTAACTACCGCCTATCCCGAGCACGTAGGGTCGTAGAGAATGCTTTTGGAGTAGCTAGTTCTGTATTTCGGGTATTGAGAACACCAATACTACTACAACCTGAGAGGGCTAAGAAAGTAGTTTTAGCAGTTGTATATTTACACAATTTTTTGCGAAAACGATCTACTGTAAATCATATCTACACACCGGCTGGATTCTTAGACAGAGAGGAAAATGGACAATTTATTCCAGGTACATGGAGAAACAACGATGAATTCCGTGGCATGATCCCAATTGGACAGACACCTCGAAGAGCAAATATGACATCAAAAAACATCCGAATCCATCTGGCTGAGCACTTTGCCACTAATGGCTCAATTCCATGGCAAAATGACTACTGATGTTTCCCGGGTACATGTAGAAACGACAATGAATTGGGGGGTTGTTGAATGAAAATGGTTTGTTTTTACATCGTTATTTTTAAAGCTTCCACAAAAAAATGTTTTGTAAATGTACTTACATTATCCATTGTATCGAGTTGGTCATTTGGCATGTCCTTATCACAAAGAAAGCCAAACCATGTGTATGCAAACCATTTTGACTGGTAGACATCTCCTTGACCTGTAACATTAAAACTCAATTCAATTTCTTGCCAATTTAAGTTATATAGTATACTTCCAACTTACAGGGCGTTTCAGAACTCTCGCTACAAACTTTAGGGTATTGTTCCTTAGTCAATAGTATGAGTACTGTAAATCACGTCAAAAATCCAACTAAGTGTACTGTACACAAATGAAAAAATGTTTTAATGATATTACGTAGTAAAATAATGATTAAAAACATACCTGATCCTGTAACTTGACTTTTCTTTTCCCTGGACTTTTCACGTCGGTAAGAGCCCAACAAAGACGTCATCTTCTTTTTCAGTTCTTTCACCGAAATATTCATTGATACCGATATTTCGCGCCACAAGTCTTCTCTCTTGTTTTTATTATAATATTCAGGGTGCTTCGAGTCCCACAATACACGTTTACTTTCATAACACTTCACTAATTCTCTAATCACGTCATGATTATCCATGATGGCAGTTTCGTTGTGCAGGTATTTGGTGGTTTGCAGTGCAGAATTGTCTATTGTACGGTGCGAGGCTGACAGCGGTATCCACTTGACGCACAGCTCGGAGCGAGGCACCTTTGAGCACTGCTCTTTTACCGACAAGCCCACGGCTCGCCACGAATTGTGCGACGCGAACGCCTCATCGTGAGCAACCCCGGTATCCACAGTCCGAGGCAAAGCCGAGCATTCACCACGAGGCATTCGCTGCGAGCAGCCTCGCACTGTCGATACTAGGCTTTTATTAAGCTAATTTCTATCGGTTACGAACGTACAATTAGTTAACAATTCATCTTTTCTAAATTCTTGTTATCAACACGATTCTTAAATTGGTACACATTTATTGAATTTACGATGTGTTCGTCTACTGTAGTGCATTCCACTGGTCGAACATGCGGTTAGTTAAAAATTTTTGCCTTTGCGTAGTTCTGAAGGGTTCCTTTTGCAATCTAGTGTCCGCGTAAGCGGGTATCTTCACGAAATTTCAGGAAGTCTAATTTGTTAGCGGGAAATAGGTCGTGAGTTAGTCGGTAAATCTGAATCAAGTCCGCTCTATCTTGTCTGAGACATAGTTCAGGCAACTTCAGTATACTTAATCTGTCACTGTACGAAATTAAGTTAAAATGTTTAGGCCATCGGGAAACTGCGTGCATAACTCGCTCTAACAACTTAATATCTTTAGCCAAATATGGTCTCCAAACTGAGACAGCATACTCCAAATGGGGTCTAATATACGTCACAAACAGCTTTGCACATAGTTCTGGCGACGGAGTAGGAAATACTTTCCTCAACATACATAACGTGGCAAAAGACTTTTTAAAAATTTTGGCGCATTGCTCGTCCCAAGTTAATTTATTATTTATTGTGACTCCTAAGTCGTTTGGATAGTGTACTTCATTGATCAGTATATTATCTAAGCAGTAAGAAAATTTTGGATTATGATGTCCTATTCGCAGCACCACACATTTTCCTCCGTTCAAAGGCAAGTCCCACGAGTTGCACCAGTCAACTACAGCATTTAAGGCGACTTGGATTTTATTTTCCGCGTTCCAAGTAGTTACCAAATATTTTGATATCGTCAGCGTAGGCCACATGGCTGCATTTCAAGTTCAAAAGTAAGTCCGACGTATACAAGATAAATAAAAAAGGTCCAAGGATAGAGCCTTGAGGGATACCACTAGCGACCTTAGTTGTGTTTGATACAACGTTACCGACTTTGACTACAAATGAACGATCAGACAGGAAAGCTTTAATCCACTGTAAGACATTTCCATTAATTCCAAAACTCAGTAACAACAATTCGTGAGAGACCCTGTCGAACGCCTTACTGAAATCTAAATAGATAATATCAATAGAGGCTCCAGGATCGCTAAGTTTGGTCCACTGGTTAATCGAAGATAGTAGGTTCGTTATCGTAGAACGACCTGGAAGGAAACCATGCTGTGTGTCAGGAATTAGACCGTGCTTTAGCACATAATCTAAAATCGCTTTAACTAAAAGCTTTTCCATAAGTTTACACACTATCGACGTTAAACTGATTGGCCGGTAGTTAGCCGGATTGCATTTGTCTCCTTTTTTATAAATCGGTGTTACAATAGCTTGTAGGCATTGGACTGGAAGTACTCCAGCGTTCAATGAGTTATTGAACATTTCCAGTATAGGATCGGCGATATTTATCGCACAGCACTTAACAATTTTCGAGAAGACTCCGTCCGCACCGGGAGCCATGTTATTACTTAGCTTATTGATTTCAGAGAGTAAATCATTTCTAGAGAATATGACTGTCGACAGCGTCTCACGAGGAACAGTTGTTAACACGGGTAGGTTCACATGAACAGAGCGGTTAAAAGCCAACGAAAAAGTCTTGGCTAGAACATTTGCAGTCTCTATATTATCATGGCACGTCACCATTATCGTTAAAAACAACAGGAACAGACACCTTTGAACTTGAATGCTTTCTGACGTAGTTATAAAAAGCTTTTGGTATAGGATAGGGTCAAAACAGTGTGCACACAATGTATCAAAATACATAAAGATACACGGTACTACATCCTTCTGACGTTGCATCAGGTGGAGTGGTGTCGCGTGGCGTGGTGTCACATCAGAACAATGTGTCCCCGGCTTAAGTCTGTGCCTCTTTCACATTATAATTTAAAACTTGAACACGAACCATGTCAAAATCAACAATTGATTTTTGGCCGTACGTTTCCTTAAAACGTATACGTATTCATAAAGAAACGTATATTTGCAATTTTTGACCATACGTTTATATTGCGTATACGTTCAATTGTGTTCGTTTTTCTGCGAGCGGGTAAATGGCGTTCGCAACGCTCGCAACCGACGTTTTGTGGGTTATGTATTGGTTAGTGTTGAAGTTTTGAGAATTTAGAGAATGCCGAACGCAATTATCGCCTGAATAGGAACTACAGTCCTTGCAACCCCATAGAAGTCTTAAATAAAGCACAATTTATCAAAATGTCTCAGCTACTTCTTTCCATGAGTTTTGCATTTTCTTGCACGTCAAAGTCGTAGTTTGTTTCCCTGCTATTATATCGGTCGAGGTGTTTTTTAGCAAACTCCACAAGCCACCTTTTTTGGTTTTGCCTGGTATTGCACCCTCGTTTTGGCGTGTCCATCGTGTTTTGAGTATTCATGCTAATCAGTGCCTAAAATATTATTATTCTTTAATTTGAAATGACTGAGCAATATCTTCACCTAACCACCTAAGCTCAAACCCAAACGTTAAATAGTCCGCTTTAGTTCTAATCAAGCAACAAAGGCGACGTTGTCATATGCACTGTACGTTTCGGTTCCAGGCAGTTACGAACAGTAGTCAAAAATTGCATTTGGAAAACGTATACGTTTGTAAGTCTTCGCATCTAAGCGTATACGAATAGATGCGACTGGTTTCAAAAATCGACCCCCAGCCATTTATTTCTAGTATCGCGTTCGTAGCTAACTGCGCGACCTTGACCCATTCAACAGAGGCATATATATATATATATATATATATATATATATATATTATATAATATAGGTAAGTAATTAAAGATATTTGGAGATGCCCATGACTAGCGCAATTGCGTATATTATATTATGTAATATTATATTGTTGTGAAAAACCTTCCTAACACACTTGAAACACCCACACAACTTACCCTTGCTAGCTCAATCTCACAAAACTCTTCAAACAACAATAAAACACAAATCTAGGGCCCGTTAAATATGAGTCCGACTACACCCTTTTTTTCGTCGGGACAAGAGGTAGCAACTCGCCAGGTCGGGTGGCTAATACTCCCTTAAATTTCAAATAAAATAATCCCTTGTTAACTGAACTTCTGGAATGAAATGTAAGTCGCCCACCGATGATCCAAACCTTTTTTAACGTTTACCAAATCGTTTTCACCCACTCGGAATATAAAAAGACAACTTAAAATTTAGAAAACTCGAATCCTTGACCTTTACTTTGGACACACAAATATAATTGAAATAAAATTTTACAAAAGCTAAATGCACAAAATCTGAAATAATAACTTAACACGAATTGAAACACCAAAAACCAGTCTTAGAACGGCGATTCTTACAATAAATTAAAAAAAATGACTCAGTACTCATCGATCTGTGTACAAGCTAATCCTTTTACAATAATGCACAAACGACCGATGCACACAAAAACAGCCCTCAGGTATGTGCTGACACCTGTACAGCTTACTCCAACACTCCTCGGGATGCTGGCGGTTAAACAAACGTTCCGCCATGTCCAGCACAATGTAAAATCCAATGCAAACGAAATCTCAGCTCTAAAATGGCGTTATTGTACCGCTTCCTTTCCCTTCAACAAACTCCTTCCTAAAGACCTTCTTAAACTCCCTCGATTGCCGGCGTAATCCAAACGTTCCCGGAACTTTCAAATAACAATAAACGATGAATACACTGGCGTAACTTTAGCAAACGCCGCGCCGCTACAATAAACTTTCCAATAAACTTCAACGTAAAGAGAAAACTGTAGCTCGCGAACGGTACAAAAAGCGCCTTCTCTTCGTGTTCAAAAACCCATTTATATCGCCACCCATCGTCAAATCTCGGTTGAATAACAAGACAAATTTATTACATTTAAATTTACACGTAATTACCGGATTTCGATTTTCCCAGACTTAGTTTCTTAATAAACTCCCGGCCGAGAAATTAATTGAACTAAAACAACGATTCCTCTGCCATAAAAAGAGAATAATACTTCTTTCCAGAGTAAAATAAATGCCGTCCAACTGCGGCTAATAAAAAAAACAACTAACAGGTGATTCTATAGTATGCCACCGTTTGGGACGCGTGTAGGTGGTGCGTAAGGGGAGTATTTGATATAGGACACTTGGCGTCGGAAATCTAAAATAAGGGTGCCAGAGCAAATGTAACCTTCTGGATTTGCGCCCTGTAGCGTCGGCAACCCAACCCGGCCGGCGGTGCACACAGAGC